GTGCTCCTGTCCGGTCGGGTAGTTCTTGTTCCAGAAGGTCATATTTACATGGACTCCTATAGTGCAATAATAATTTCGGCCCACTGGTCCCCAGAATAGACTTCCTTCCTGCATATAAAACTTGAGCCCTACCCTGAAGACCCCAGAAGTCTCAGCTCCTCACAGCATCAGCTCTCTTTAAGTCTCAGTAGCTCAGAAAGTTCCACTGCCATCTTCTAAGTCCAGCAGGAGTGAGGCGGGCAGGGAGCCTGTGGGAGTCAGTCAGCTAGGCCGCTGGCACCCGTCTGTAGTCATGTCATTGGGAGGCAGGCCAGGAGAATCTACCTTGAGGCTGACCTAAAATATGTACTAAGAGCCTATCTCAAGAATAGAAACAAAAACCAAACCAGATAAACAAAACCAAACAAACAAGTTATCTGCTCCTGAGAGGTCTGAAGGAGCAATTTAGTTCTCCTAGTACAGGTCAAGTTTTTGTTTTTCTTTTTAAATTTTGATGAACCTTGATCTACCAGATTTCTCCTTTTTATGTACTGTGCTTTTAGTATTTATTTAGTTATTTTTTTGGTCTTTTGAGACAGGGTTTCTCTATGTAACAGCCCTAGCTGTCCTGGAACTCGCTTTGTAGACCAGGCTGGCCTCAAACTCACAGAGATCCATCTGCCTCTGCCTCCTGAGTGCTGGGACTAAAAGCGTGTGCCACTACTGCCCGGCTTAGTTTTATATTGAAGCAGTTTTCTTAATCAGAGTTTACAGAAACAGTGTACTTTCTTGCAGCAGTTTTGTGCTGAGGTGTTACATTGAAATTAGTTTTGAGTTAGAATCTGTAATGTAGGCAGAGTAAGGACTGAAGATTTTACACTTAGATGTCCCTTGAGTAGAATACAGTCTATTTAAAACAATTTTAGAATGTGCTTATTTATTCTTTGACAATTTAATGTATATATACAGTGTATGTCGATCACACCCACCCCACCCCACACCTTCACTTCTCCACACCCTCCAAGTTTCTACTTTTCCCGACTTACACCCTAGTTGTGGTGGTGTGCCCCGAGCAAACAGGATGCTTTTCTGGTGGTGAAAAGCAGTGGAGAGCAAGGACGTGGTCGAGGGGCAGGAGTGCGGGGCTTCTGTGGGCCAACTGAAGTTATTACTCTCCTACATCCCACGATAGGCTACACTTTCTCATAGCGTGGCCTGTAAGAATGAGGGACAAGATACAGCATGTCTGATGGAGAGAGATTTAGCGGACAAGCTGAGCACAGATGCCTGGGTGGGATGGGGCATGGTCATAAAGTGAAGGGACTGAGGAGGAGGTGTAGGCCCGTAAGGCTATAGGTGTTAAATAGGCGAGCGGCCACACCACGTACTCTGCTGAGGTGAAAACATTTGATTTTTCTGTCCTCTGAGAAGCCATTTTAGGGCTTTGAGCAAAAGGATTTAGTTCAACTCAGTAAGGCTCCGGTACACATTTCAGTGACAGCGTAGGTTACCTGCGTGCTGGTCAAAGATGCAGATTCAGGGACCCCACTCAGACCTACTGAGTCAGAGACTCTGAGAGGAGGCCCAGGGATCTGTGCTATAATCCCTCCCAATGACTGATGCATCCATGCCTAAGGGTTATTTTTGATTGATAAATACTAATTGTATATACGTATGTTTCCATGTGTATACATTATGGAATGATCAACTCAAGCTAGTTAACTTTTCATCACCTCACATTCTTATAATTTCTTTGTGGTGAGAACATTTAAAATCAACTCACTTGGCTACTTTGAAAAACATGACATGCTACTGATAAATCACAGATGCAGACTGCAGAACCTGACATGCTACTGATAAATCATAGATGCAGACTCCAGAACCTTCTGCCCTGGTCCAGCTAAAACTTAGTGCTCTTGGACCAGTGAGGCCTTTCCTGTCTGTACCCGCACCCCTTTAGTCCCTGCTAGCTCAATTAGAAGCTCACTGTGGATGCTTTATGGACAGAGAGGGCCAGGGAGGCTGAGTGGAGGCTGAGAGAGAAGTCGGCGTGGCTTGTAGACTGGTAGAGACGGAGGCAATGACAACAGATCGGGGTGACTTCTGTGGACAGAGCTGGGAGGACCTGCTGTTCTAGACTGGTTATGTAGTAGATTCAGTACCATGTGAGAGGGAGGGCTAAGTGACAGGTAAGGCCTGGGCCCTGGAAGGGTGGAGCTGGAGCTGATGCGAGCCAACAGGGGGTCAGCAATAGGCTCAGTGGAGTGCCAGTTCCCTTGCGCTTGGGTGCTGGTGACAAAGGTTGGTAGCATCCAGCTTGGGTTTTGGATGAATTGAGGTTGGTACACACTGTGAGTCTGGGAAAGGACATCTTGTCAGCACTGTGACAGGTAAGGTGAGGATATATATTTTATATTTATATATTTATATTTCTACCATTGGAGGTGTGTCTGAATACATCGAAGGGTAAAAACTGAAGGATGTTTAATAACAACTTAGTTTATTTCTAACCAGAAATGCACATTTTGTCTGATTTGTTTTTTACAGGTAAAATAAAGTTGCCTATAGATTTCTGTGAAAATGTCGGTTCTAATATCACAGAGTATTATAAATTACGTGGAGGAAGAAAATATTCCTGCTCTGAAAGCTCTTCTTGAGAAGTGCAAAGATGTGAATGAGAGAAATGAGGTGAGGCTGCCAGTAAATTCTTCCCTTATTTGTAGACTGCTCTCCGCACAAGGCTCTGTGCTAAGGACGGAGGTGGGGAGCAGGTGGCTCTCTGCTTCAGCGGACATATTCACGGTGCAAGCTCTTGTGGGAAATCTGTTGGAGTCTGTGTTTTGAATGTACTTTTTAGATAACGTAAATGGTTGAATATTGAATATAGGCTTATGAACTTTCCCCCTGATAAAATAGTAAGTATTCAGGAGGTTTGAGTCTTGAAAACTACAGTGCCTCTAGGAAGCTTTATAGTGTGTGTCTAAGTCCCCCACTTCCTTCAGATAGACCAACCAGACTGAATACGTTCTTAGTCAAGTCTCAAATCTTCCTGAGTTGTCCATTTCACATACCCTGGGATTGCAGATGCTGCGTGTTTTAGAGAGTATTACAAACTTACCTTAAATGTTAACCTTAAATACCTTAAATATTCCTGTTAAATAGTATGGCAAAAACATTGCTCTTATTTCATCAGATGTAGTATGATGGTTGAAAACTATTTGATATGACATTTTAGAGAATAATAAAATTTTAACTGTCCAAGTCTGTGTTTATCTTAAGAACTTTAAAATTTTTAGATTATTTTATGTGTGTGGGTATTTTACCTGCATGTATGTATGTGTATCATATGTATGCCTAGTGCATGCAGAGGTCAGAGGAAGGCACTGGATCCCTGGGACTGGAGTTAGCAGACAGTTGTGAGCCACCAGGTGGGTGTTGGGAATTGAACCCAGTTCCATTGCAAGGGCCACCAGTGCTCTTAACCACTAAGCTATCTCTCCGCCCCTTCTTTTTGTTAGGATCCACAAGAAGGCCCATAAAGGACCACCAGTCATGTATACAATCAACAAGAGCATTTATTAAAATTACCAACATGTTGGGGTTGCAAATGGTGCCCCCTGTGAGAAGTTTGCAGGCTCCTTTTTAGCTGGGTTAGTGGAATTCCAGGGAGGAGAGATTAGTCTGGGTGCTGACTGGTAGGTGGCTCTAGTGGTTAGGCACTTTCCAGCGACAGGGTAGGGAAAGCTCTCTTCAGCCAGCAGGGGACTGTGGGGCACCTGCTGATTGGTTGCCCCTGAGTTGAGGTTTCCCCAAGAACTGCTTTCTCAGCTCCAGTCAGCTCCAGTAAACTGAAACTACAGCCGGATCCTTGGCAGGGCTGCTAGAAGTCTGTCATGGCCCTTGTCTGGCTCCCCTTCCCTCTCACTTCCTTTTTCAATGCTAGGGATTGAACCTATGCCCTCACGCACGCTAGGGAAGAGCTATGTATACAGCTGTTGAGCTGTATACATAGCCCGACAATGGATACTTTTTAATTTTTATTTGTATTAAACTTATTTGTGTGTATGTGTGTGTGTGTGTGTAGGTCAGGGAACAATTTCAGGAGTTGGTTCTCTACTATCATGTGGGTCTTTGGGATAGAATGAGGTTGTCAGGCTTGGTGGCAAGTACCTTTATCTGCTGAGCCATCTCTTCTCATAGAATTTAATCTTGGAGCAGGATATGGTGGTGTACTCCTTTAATTCCAACACTCAAGAGTTAGAGGCAGGCAGATCTTTGTGAGTTCAAGTACAACATGGTTTACATAGTAAGTTTCAGACCAGTTAGGCTATATAGTCATACCCTCCCAAAAAAGTAAACAAAAAAATTATTAATATTATTATTATTATTTTAAACTGTTGAACTGGGAAGTATAGCTGTTTGGAAGAATGCTTCCTGGCATGAGCGAGGCCCTACCTTCAACAAGACTTCAACAACAATTCAATAATCTAGAATTTCACAGTTGGTTCGGTTTTCCCTTCTTTCTTGTTGTTTAGAGTATTTAAGCTCCTTCATCTTAATGTGTTTAGCTAATCATTTTTATTGCATTTTATTTATTGTGTGTGTATGTGTGTGTGCCATGTTACCCAACTGGGAATCCTAAGACAGCTTGCAGAAGTAGGTTCTCTCCTTCCACCATGTGGGGCCTGGGGCTCTGACTCAGGTCTCCACAGCCCTTGGTCACCATTCTTGAAAAGGATTCTTAAATATTAGATCAGTGAAATAAAATTATATGTGTGTTTTTAGCATATAGTTGACCACAAACTGTGTATTTGGGTTCTTTGCCTCTTTTGTTTTATTTATGAACTAGATAAGTCTCAGCTTATGAATAGTTCCATAGCAGTCATCAGCTTTGGTGTCTTGATTCTTGGGAAGAGCAAGGTCACCTTTCCTGGGGTGGAGTGGGCCTGGGTGATAGGTTGTATTGAGACTGGGCATTCTGACTAAGAAAATGAAACAAGACTTTAAGAGATAAATTTTGTTGTGTGTTTATAAACACTCTAAAAGGAATTTCAAGAGAGGATTTCAAAATGCTTTGCTTTTACTGTAATTATTAGAAGAAGACAAATAGTCATTTAAGAGATAACTGCTTTAGGGGCAGTGATTGTGTAGGTCTGATTTACATAAAACAAGATCCTAGGAATTAGAAGAACAAGGTAGTTGAATTGTAGGCGGGTCGTAGCCTCCTGGGGGAGCTGAGAGGAGGACCCCCTTGAGGAGAAGTTCAGTTGGTGTAGAGTGTTGTGTTTTCTTTGGTGTAATAGAGGAGAGGTGTCGCAGTCAGCTTGTGTGCATTTGTAGTGGAATTCCACAGGCTGGGTGATGTCTTCTCATAGTTCTAGAGGTTAGGATGTCCAAGATGAAGGGCTGGCATCTGCCGAGAGCCTTCTTACTGCATCACAGCAGCAGAAGACACCCTGTGGGGGAGAGAGGACGTGTGAAAGCGGATGAGAGAGACGAGAAGGGAGCCGAACTCTCCTTTTATTGGGATCGCAGTGCTCCAGCAACTAACCCGCTTGCACAGTAATGGCGCTGATCCATCCAGCGGGCCTGTGCTCCTAACCCGCTTGTACAGTAATGGCGCAGATCCATCCAGCGGGCCTGTGCTCCTAACCCGCTTGCACAGTAATGGCGCAGATCCATCCAGCGGGCCTGTGCTCCTAACCCGCTTGCACAGTAATGGCGCTGATCCATCCAGCAGGCCTGTGCTCCTACCCCGCTTGCACAGTAATGGCACTGGTCCATCCAGCAGGCCTGTGCTCCCGTCATCTGCCTGCCTCTTCAGGTCCCTGCCACTCAATATTATGTTGTATTGAGTTTCCAACATAGGAGCTTTGATGGATACATTCAAACGATAATGAAGGGTAGTGGGTTTTTCATCCTCCCGAGTTTAGAAAGCAGTAGGCTTGTGATTTGTGGAGTATGTAAGCCTAGGTATGGAGGACACTTTTGTGACTCATTGTCAAATGCAAGGATAAAGTTCTCCTGATGGCAAATTGCTTCTTTCTCTCGAGCTGTGGTTGCTACCTTGGTTGAACAGGAAGTGGCAGAATCTAGAAATAATAGGCTTTACGATTCAGTTTACAAGTTACTCTTCTGTCTTTCGGAATCTAATAAAACTGAGCTGGGTGATGGTGGTGCACACCTTTAATCCCAGAATTTAGGAGGCAGAGGCAACTGGATCTCTGAGTTCAAGGCCAGCCTCATTACAGAGCAGGTTCCAGGACAGCCAGGGCTGTTATGTAAAGTTTATGCATCCTCGGGGCTCAGATTCAGCTTCTTGGCTTTAGTTTCTTCTGTGTTGTATGGATGACACTTGATGTGTAGCCGTTAATCTTGACAGGAGAGGGATACTGTAGGAATTATGCAAAAAAAAAAAAAAAAGAATTGATTTAGGCACGTGTGGCATAGTAATTATAGTAAGTGATGTCTGCCATCATGACTTAGAATCATAAATGTTTTAAGTTAATCTGCTTAACAAATAGTGATGTGTACATTGCTTTTGTAATGAATTCTTTTTTAATCACATTTTTTCATACAGTATTTTTGATTGTGTTCTGCCCCCCCAACTCTTCCCAGATCCTTTCTGCCTTCCTATCCACTCAACTTTATGTTCTTTCTTTTTTTCTTTCAAAACAACTAAGAAATAGCAACAAACAAACAAACAAACAAACAAACAAAAACACCCGCAGGAAACAAAACATCCCACAAAAGCAAAAATCAAGATGAACAGGCAAAAGACCAACCGGGTCCAAAAACAAAAGAACAAAGCAAAGTAAACAAAAAGTCCACAAATACCATTG